AGTGCTGTCTTGCTTGCCGCAGGGATCTTTGATTCCACTGGGCCCACGGTTCAAGCGCCCTTCGCTTGATGCTTAGGACCTGGCGCAGCTGCATGAGCTGTATGCTGTTGATGCCTCGGAGCAGGGAGTCGTGCGGGTGCGCTGCACCGATGGCCCACAGCGCCGACGTGGCTACATACCTGGTGTAGGCAAGCATCTTGTGGTCTATGCTCCCTCCGCCTGTCAGCATCTGCTTGTGCACCGCGAAGGCGCCTCGGGCTCTTCTCGTGACTTCCGCAAGGATCTGGGTAACTTCTCTCGTCATGGCTACTGGTGCCCCGAGTACGGTGAGCGTTCCATCTCTTTCTCCTTCCACATCCACTTCCCCTACCCGGATCACCTGTTTCCCTTCCTGGTTGTGCACATATTTGGTCTTGGTGGCATTCACTTGTAGGTTTCTGGCCCGGAGACTGCGAACCATCATCCCCAACTTGGCTTGGAGGAATTCTTTGTCATGGCTCCAAAGATAGACGTCATCCTGAAAACCCCCGCCATTGGCCGGCATCGGCGGACCCCCATCCGGCGCCCTATCTCCTTTTGGCCTAACGTCTCTGTGCGCTTCTTCCCTGTGGTCCCTCATAGGGGTGGGTGGGGTCAGGTTGGCCGTGCTGGAGGGGGGTCCGAGCACCTCATTTAGGATTTGCCCAACCATAGCCGCGAATATGACAGGCGAGTCGGGAGCTCCTTGGCGTACGCCATTGGTCTGCTGCACGTCGTGGGTTTCATTGGCCATCGACACACATATGCGCTCATTCATCAACATGTCAGTCCAGAGTCGCGCCTCCCACGGGCGCCCCCCCCTCACCCCCACTTGCTGCTCAACCAAGATCGCTAGCTGGGCCTGCGAAACTGTGTCGAATGCTTTCGCAACATCAATCTTAACTAGATGAAGCGGTAGCCCCCACTCGCGGCAGGTGCGTACCGCTTTCCGAATCGACAAAATCAGCTCCGCTGGCTGCTTGCCTGGCTGGGCATACTGCCAGGGCGTTCCTTGAAAAACAGACTTGGTTGTCCTGGCCAGGAGGAGTTGGGATTGCCATTTGAGGCAGCTGTTGGACAGGGCAATGGGCCTGGTTGCGCTCCATTGCTGGGGGAAGGGTTCCTTCGGAAGGAGGATGGTTACCGATTTCTTAGCATCAGGCGGCAGCTTACCTTTATAGAGGGCAGCATTAAACTCTTGCAGGATGGCATGCTGCCAGTGCTCTTCCTTGCATACGGCTTTGAGCGCTTCAAACGCCACTCCGTCTGGTCCCGTGCTTTTGCCTCCCTTCCATCTCGCCATGGTCCCCATTAGCTCCTCTGCGGTGAAAGGTTCCCAGGGGTGATCCTTACATCTCCGCTCCAGCCTGCGCCACGCATCATGGACCCGTCTGCGGACTTCCTCTCCTTCCTGCTTCTTAAAGATGCTCTCAAAGTGGGTCTTCATACGTTTTTGCCACTGCCAATGTTCCTTGTGCTGTTTCTTTTTCTTCCATACCTCCTCCTTCCAGAGGGTCCTGGCCTGGGGTGTCTTAGCCGCCTTATTTCTCTGCTCTCCACGTACCTGAAGGGGTTTTTCCGACTCTCCGTAATGGCCAGAGCCACGCGCTGCAGGTCTCGCATTCTGTCCCCCTTCCACGTCGTGCTTGGCCACTGCTCGCAGCACCTGTTCCGTTCCCTTGAGTTGCCTCGCTCCATGCCTCTGGGCCCGGGCCTCTCGACATGATGGGCTATCGGCTGCGCATACCCTCATATGTGCCGTGACCGCATCGTGGTCACTGGATGCGAGGTGTCTGAGCTGGTGTACCTTTCCATGGCCCCCTTCCGTGACACCTGCCCAGAAAATGTAGTCAAGGCGTCTGGGCCTGTGAAGGTGGTTGTAGGGGTGGTACGTTGGCGTAGCCAGGTCCTGGTTCGGCGCCGTCATGTCATGCTCACTGAGCCACTGCAGCAGCATGGCTCCCCTGGCTGTCTTGTGTTGCAAGGTTGCCCATGCTTCGTTATCCTCCTGTGCTGCAAGGAATGTCTCATTCAGGTCTCCCAGGAGGATTCTGCATGGTTGTTTCAGTGCCTGCGTGTTCTCCCATACAGCCATGTGCTGCCCGGTCTCCGGCAGTGTGGCTTTGGGCGGCAAGTGCACGTTTAGCACTCCCAGCTTGCTGCTGGCCGTCTTGACCGTGATTCCCAGCGCGTCCTGCGAAAGTTCCTTGTGCACTATCTTTCCAAGATTCTCGCAAACGGCAATCATTCTGCCTCTCCACTCCGAGCTTCTTTTGCCCGCCACCAGGTGCCACGCCATCCTTTCTGTGGGCATTCCCCCCACATTCCATGTCATGATCTGCACCTCCTTCTCAGGGTTGCTTCCCCTCGTCATCTGTCGGTCCTCTCCACCTTCTTGCCCTGCATCTGCTCCTCCCTCTCCCTTCTCTGCTCCGCACATCATACCCTCGGCCCTGCGCCGTGGCGGTCTGCGCCTACGCGCTTTCCTATCGCGCTCCTCTCTCCGTCCGGCGCCCACGCCTCTTTGAGTTCCCGGGTGTCCCTCCGCAGGTTGGCGGCCGGCTGGCGCCGCAGCTCGTGCTCCCCGCGGCTCCGGCTGTCCCAGCCGTTCTGCCACTCCTCCGTGTTCTGTCTGGTAGCCATGTTCTCTCTGATTAACGCGCGACTGTACTCCCCACTGCACCTCTCCCTGCTGTCAGGCAACTCCGTCTCTCCTCTCTCATCCTGTAGTCTCTCCTGCATACCTCGCTCTGCTTGCTGCACACTCGACATTTTTGAACTCTTTGCGTGAGCTTCCCGATCTTCAGACGAGCAATCTCCCACAAGTCCCCGGCCTATCGTCTCGATATGGCCAGGGCTCAAGTTTCTCCCCGAGGTCCAGGTCAGTCTCTGACGGACGCTCAAGGGGACGTCATCCAATGGGTCATACTGTGCCAGGTACTGCACCTCAGGTGCGCCTGTTCGTCTTGCCGTCCCTGATTGCTGTACACCAGGTCAAAAAGGGGCCCCCGAGTCGGTCATCACGATCCGGGCTGGGAGCCACTCTTGCAGTCAGTCTGCCTGCCCCATGGGCACAAGGTAGCGGAAGCGTTCCGCCTTCGCCCACCAAGTTTCCAAACACTGCCTCAGACCAAAAGGGGCTCTGCCCTCGTCGGTTCAAAAAGTGCACATCGAATTCCATTTCGCCTCCAGCTGTATGCACCTGCCGGGCGCCGTTCAGCTCAGCTTCCTGGGTTTCGTCTCAGCTTATCGCCGCCACCAGGTCGTGCCAGCGATCAGCAAAGGCGTCTGCTCCTTGGTGTGCTCACAGGCCAGCTTGGCGTCCACCCATCCGTGGTCGCAGACCAAGATTTCACCGACTGCTGGCTGGTGGGACGTCCCCCCGACCTTCTTGCTATTTATCATGAGGGTGCCTCTCCGGTAGTCCGCTTTCACCTGCATCTCCTCGACGGTTTCCCCCAGTTGCCGCATCTTCTCGTAACTCTCCAGGACCACTCTTTTGCTTTTGGCCAAAAGCCTGGCCTTCCTGCGGACCTCTGCTGGTTGAGAGACCGCTGCCCACACCAGCATCTGCTTGCCGTCCCGATCGAGGTGTCCAGATGGTGCCTTGAGCTTTCTCGTGGCCTCCACCGCTTCAACTACCCGTCTCATCATCATCTGCTTTGACTCATTGGGCAGGCATGTCAAGGGGACCACCGCAAATCCTCTCTGCTGTCCCGGCACAAAGGCGTCTTGCGCTGGCAGCGGCAGGGCCCTATCTCGAATGAACTGGCGCACTGCCTCAAGAGTCTCTGCAGCGTCGGTGTCCTCTTTCCAGCCTCCGATGATGACTGCCGGGTCCCGGTCATCATCCAACGCAGACTCCCCTGCTCGCCTCCAGATAGCCGGCTGTCCCACTGGCCCGTCTCTCTCCAAAGTTTCCAGCCTCTTAAGAATCCCTTGGATGGCGGCCTCCTGTTCCTCATGCCGCGCATCTCGCCTTTTCTCCCTTTCCATTTGGGCATCCATGGTGATCTGGATCTGCTGCAACTTGGTGTCCTGGTCACGTTGTCGGTCACTGAGAGCTTGTACCAGGTCTAGGGTTCGGTCAACCTTCAGCGCCAGCTGGTTCTCGACCTCTGTCACGCGGTTCTTGACCTCCGTCATTCTCTGGGCAATGGGTGCCAATGCGGTCATCAGGTCCGTCATGCTCAGGCCACCAGTACTGCAGCGCTCATCCCAGCGCGTGCGCTTGCTTGGCGATGGGACGTTGGACTGGCGGTCATCCCGATTGCTAATGCCCTGATCGTCAATTTCTATGGGGACCGCGGCCGCCCTCCTGACTGAGCGCGTCCATGTCCTCGCCCATGCCGCAGCGGCGCCCCACTCAGTCGCCCCTCTGCGTGGCCACCCTTGAGCTCCGTACTTCCGGGCGTTCTTGTGGCGAGCCTTGGCGGTGTAGACGCAATGTGCAGTAAACTCACCGGTGAAGGGGTCAAAGCGGCAGCTCTGGCTGGCGCAGCTACGGAGCTTGTCGCAGCGGGAGGCCCTAGTCCTAGGTTGGAGGCTCCGCGGCCTTGTCTGGCAAACAGCTGCTCGGCGGACCCAAGCCCCCCCCGACCCAGGGGACGTCCACCCCCGCACCCCGCGGAGCCTACTCTCCGCAGTGCGCAGGGGCCGCCCCGGGTCGCCAGGCCCCGAAAGACCGTGGCGGCAGGAGACTTGAGCCAAAATTGCTACGGCCTCCCTCTCCTTCTCGCTTTCTCTCGCTCTGCCTCCCTCTCTCCCTGCCAGTTCAGTCGCTCTCAATGCTCAGTTTTGGCTGCGAACAACTTAACTTGGTCAACAACTTGCGGCTGCGTGTAATGAACATGCCGTCAGTCATGCCAAGCTTGGCAAGGTGCACAGATGGCAAATCTATATATATATATATATATATATACATATGATCGGAAAACTCACTTTGGAATAAAGCACCAAAAGCCAGCACCAAGCCAAGGTGCCATCCTCGAAGTTCAGAATTGCTTCGCAAACCTCACGTGCTGCAGGTCTTGGTGGAGACGGAGCTTGACAGCGGCAGCTTTGCAGCAGAATTTATTCCGAGCAAAGATCATAAATGACAAGCCATGAAGGCATGAGATGGTGCTGCTGAAGCACGAGCGCACCGACTTCTGTCATATCGACCATCTTCAGCCGCTGCAAGTCCATCAGAATGTCGCCAATGGTCTTTCAACAGTATCCAGCTGAAACTGGAATGAATTTGTGACTCCGGCTGTTGCTTCAGTTGCTTGTCACAACCTTTGCCATCGCACATGCCTGCATCAGTCTTTTCCTAGTCTTGGCCCAACCTTCCAGCTGTCTCAAGTCCCGCAACAGAAAACAACCCTGTATAGACTCCGTGCGCACGGTGCAAAGAAGAGGACTTGACAGGGTAGACGCTGTACCAAAGAGGGGCCTCATCCATATCATCAGACACGTAGGCAAGACTTGTTCGAAGGATTGTACCAATCTCGTTGATGATGGCTTTCCTGGGCAAGGCCCTACCCCAAGGAGGCCGAATTGGTCAACATAGCTGCTCTGTGAATTTCTTTCCCGGCCCGGCGCTGGCTAAACATGCAGTTGCAGCCAAGACGCTGCAAGCAGTGACGGTGGTATGCCTCATCGGCCGCTTGCCTGAACGCTGAGTCCAGCCCTTTACTACATACTCTATACTGAGCACAAGAGCCATGCGATCAGGTATGGGATGTGATTTCAAGAATGACTGGCCTGACAATGCTCATAATGCGCTTGGAATCCTGTAGAGCCCGCCCAGTACCAATACAGAGCGCTCGGGCAGCGTTCCAACCTTAGTGCTGCTTGCCTTGAAATTGGCGTTGCCTCTGCTAAACAATAGGTTTGATGAGACTTTGCACCTCAGTTGGTGACGCTTGCAGTCCATGACACAACGGCAGAGCAAGCTTGCGAGTCAGTGCTCAAGTATGTACCAAGGCGCCCCTTAAGCCCTTGGCTCTGGGGTCATTGTCATCCTGACAAGCTGTGCTCGACAATACTTGCAGCTCGCGCGCTAAAAACTCGTGTACCTACAGTGTGCCGGATATCTGAAGCGAAAAGCCATCGGTACCAGCCTGCGTCTCAGGTTCTGGAAGTCCCAGAAGAGCCGTCCGCGCTTGAGACCATGCCTTGCGGAGAAAGTTGACCTGATACAGGGAGTTCTGATCAGAAGATGTTCACATCTTCAACATTGCTGCATATCACTGCCTTGCCATCCTTTCGCCTTGGTGCTTGCTCGCTTGCAGCTGCCAACCTTCGCAGCTGGGTCATGACTGCAAAATAAGACCACCGCAATCAGCTCTTGTCACCTTGCTCCTAAACCAGGTTTCATTGCCAACATTCTAGGGAACGAGCTTGGTGTGCAGTCTGTGCCGAAGATGTAATGTAATCAGCTTGCAGGCTAATCACACGGCAGCATGCAGTGAGCCCAAAAGCCTTCGACGTAGCCTCCTGCGTCTTTGTTCACGACGCCTCGGTGTCCTGAACAGGCATGAACGGAAAGGCAAGGCGTGCTCGCGAGCTTCCCTCAACAAGAGTAACCATCGGCTTTGCGCCCATACGGCACCTCGTCTTTTTAGTTCTTTTGTTTGTCCCAGGTGCGAGCTTAACTTGCGCATGTGCCTGTATGCTTGCCAAGCAGCATGCGCCCCGTCCTAAACCTGTTGTGGCCTGTCACACGGTGAGTGCTACATGTACGTGTCTATTAGCACAAATCGCAAATCGTGTGGTGGGCAGTCACGTCAGGGCGCCTCGTGCGTCCCTTGGTGTTTGTGCACCAGGGCTGCCCGGGCTGCGAGGGCTTCCAAGTTCACGCGTGCTCGACGCCCTTGGCGCATCAAACTCTACGTGCACGATCAATGCTTGTGGACCTTCAAGGAGAGGCAAGTGAAGCTTGATAGCTTCAACACCTGCTACAAGTAGCAGCTCGACCAAAAACCAGCTACACTGTGCGATCTGGGGTCGAGAGATTGCCGGAATTCACCCGACGATTTCCTGCACAAAAAGTGTAGAGGTTTCATTCCCTATACTGACTTGGCTGCTCCCACCTGCGGAGGATCCCGAGGTCTCACGGCTGAGGGCCCGCCGCACCTTAGCGACAAGTTCATATTAATTGGCAAGTTCGATGTTGCTCATTCCTCTCACTTACACTCAGATATAGCTGGTCTGTGCATGGTCCCCGTCGCATGCTCTCAGAATTCACACAACTCATGAATGCACACTCTACGCAGCGCAGCAAACTCCGCATTTGGCCGGGCTTCTGATGTGTTTGAAGGCGTTCTCCTTGGGCTTTTTGTCAGCTTCTCTACAACTGGGATTAAACCCTGAACTATATTCTTTTTCGGGTAAAGGAATTGCATGCCTGCACCGTTAGGGGGGCAACTCCAAAGCCAAGACTCTCAAACTCGATGGAGCTCGTCCGCTGTCTGCCTCACTCACGGCGTTGCCACTCCATAGTTCCGATGAGAACTCCCTGCAAGCCCCTGTTGCTGAAGCAAAGCGGCTGGGACCTTTTTTCTGGTCAGTGTCCGAAAGGTTGCTGAGACTTCTGCTTGCCTAGGCCGGGAGCACATGCCATGTTCAACGGGGCACAGTTCCATCTCAATATCACCCCAGGTCCTACATCCTTCACCTAGATTGCTCTACATCTTCCCTTTTTGGGGCCTAAAACGTATGAGGCTCCAGGCACCGACCGGCTCTTCGCAGCCTTCGGCCGCTTGGCTTCCTCCGCCTGAGCCTCGCTGGCTTCATCTCCTCGGCTTGGACGAAAAGGTTTCAGTAAGGGGTCCCAATATGGACTAATCCCTTCACCATATTAATCAAACCCACCCATATAATAAATAATACATCCGGGACCC